TAAACATGTTACACTAAGCCCACCAATTTAGTAGGCTGTGATTAGAACGGGAGTCTGTACGCATGACAAAAGAGTTTCAGTGTTTTGCAGGAGCTGGTTTCATGTGCCTGCTTGTGGTTGAGGATGGGTGTACTGGTGTAGTCACCTCTCGGTGTACATGTACTCACCTACTGGTGTACTCATCACCTCGTCCGAGCGATAAAAGTGGATCAGTTGGTCAGACTCGGTCACATGTTCTGTCATCGTACACCGACTTTGAACAGTATGACCAGCTTAGTATACCTGGAACGATTGTGGTGTAACACAACCACCAAAAAAACAACCTTTTATACTATCGGCGAGAAGGCAGAGTTGTTTATCTTCGAAAGCCATCTGAGACTGCAATTCGCTGACATTGAGCATCCATTAGAAGCTACACGTGTTTTTATTTAAAGGCTTCAACGGTCGTTGCGTTGTGGTGACAAGACAAACAAAAAAATTCTTCCTGTTGTAAAAAGTCACATTTTCAAATACACATCCGCCGGTAAATTCCCAACCTGATAATGTCACTCAAAGTTAATCAAACAAAGTCGTTAAATGCGAAATTAATCACAGCTATTATAAATGTGAACGATTTGTCACTTCACCTGCAATAGAGCGTTTCTGTTATCAACAACTGTGAAATTCATCATGCCATCTTGAACTGAGATCAATTACAGTATCGACAAGCTTTCAGCAACCTGTCAACTGAGGATCTGCATTGCTCTAAATCCCTTAATATCCTCTAAGTCGTTAGTACCATACGTTAATAATTCAATTTCGCGAACTGTCGATCATTCTTAGACGAAATTATTATCCCAAGCATCACTCTTGACTTCCCTTTCGATTTCAGTTCTCTATCACATCCCTTCCTGTACATGGATAAAAAATGTAAATGCACGTCTTTTTGTCCTAAATAAACATATACAGTCCGTATTGGTTTCTAAAACATCAAACTTCAAATTGAAGATTCAAAAGTACAGAAACAAGGGCTTTGAAGTTTTGATGTTTCCAGTTTCTCTCAAAAAGGAATGGAAGAAACCGATGGAACGTTTGTGGCTACTAGTACATTCATTTACAAATTACTTACAAATAAAATTAAGGGAACACAAAGTCAGGATTAGCAGACGGTTTTGACGTTTATAATGTAACTGAGTTCAACAAACGAGACATCATGCTGAGTCTTTGCTTGTCTTCATAAATGTTTTATGCCTTTGAAACGCCACTCAGCAATATTCATTTATAACGAAGTGGTATGTAAATGGTCGATTTTGGACCGGGCAGTCGAGTGACCAACATCATGACCCGGATCTATCCATTTGGGATACGATGGCATGTATCAACCAACTGACGGAGGACTACCCGATCCCGTTCATCGCCAGCATGGGTTGCTGAAGACCAATTCTTATCCGCTATCAGTTGTGTATTTGTTGCCAGATGACGGCGTTCTGAAAACTGGGCCAAACAAACCAGTGACTGATAACAATAACAATATCCTTCGCTTTTGCCATGATTATCCTTTTGATACGGAATACTAGTTTGCAGAACATCTATAGTTCTGTGAAACCTGCGGGGCAAACTAATTTCATCGGATTTTCCAGGTCAGATGAAAAGGTCTACTGCACCTGAACTCAAAAATATAAAATGGTACATGTAACCTTAGTTTTCCATTGTCTTTATGTGACAATGCACAAGCGACCCCGATACTGATCTATAAATGTCAGAAACATTGTACATTCCATGTCAACGATGTCTGTGAGAAAATTATACTGTCGCTCAAGCGCATACCTTCCTTTCGAAAATACATATGTTACAAGACAAACTTCACACAGCACCTTTGCTTACGCACTTTCAAATACCCCTAGGGACCAGTGACGATACATTCCCCTCTCCCTTCATGTATATCCACTACATCCCGATAACAGGCCCTGTAATTGAGGTTACAAAGGACACGGCGTGAATGTATGATGATGTATGACAGTGATATATAAACTGTCATCATGAAGGTTGTTCCATCCAATGTAATTCCACTCGCATGTATTTCTGCTGATTGAATTCATCGCATCTTCTGCCATGTGTATTCATGTGGACATCTTCAGGAATTCAAATGCGTTAACTGTCCCTTTAAACAAATCCAATCGCAGCTAAAAACTAGGGTTCATTTATTATTGACACCGTTGCTCCAAAGTCTAGAAGACCATATAAAGATGCTGCCATCGATTTTCCTCACAAGCTGCGTCCCTGCCAAATTTTGTTCAGAATTCAATTACTCTGCCCCTCTGTACTGACAAAGCGAAATGTAGTGGGTAAATTTCTCAAGTGACGGCTCACGGTACAAAGAGTGTTATGTATATCAAATGACATCGTCTGGCGCATCGCAGGGAGGAGTGACTTGGTGATTCATTGGTAAAGAAAGAGTGCTGACGTCAATTTCAAAACCGTAACAGGAACAAAAAACAAGAGTGACCACGAGTATGTTGAGACGTTTTCATCCATGTAAATAGAGTCTGTACTTATTTACCTGTATCTGACGTATTAAGCGTATGCCTTCCAGCATTGATCCCGGGTTAGAATCGGTCTTCAGTTACCCATACTTGTTGTAAGAGGCGACTAACGGGATCGGGTTGTCAAGCGCGCTGACTTGGATGACACATGTCATCATATCCCATTTGCGTAGAACGATGCTCATGCTGTTGATCTCTGGATTGTCTGGTCCAGGCTCGATTATTGACAGACCGCCGCCATATAGATGGAATATTGCTGAGTGAGGCGTAAAACTAAACTCACCTTCCAGCATTGGCGAGAAATTAGGTTTGTATCTTGCAAGATGTGCAAGGTGAGATTCCTCTGTTTAGAAACCAATTGTATGACGTTAATGAAACGAAACATTACAATACAGTACTTCACATATATATATATGTCAAGTATGATTCGTACGTGATAGTTGCACGTTAGAAAATCTCTTCACTTCTCTAAAGATCTGGCACCAGCAAGGCATGACGTTGCTGGAAGCATTTGTTAAATGCAGCGTTGATAAAATCACAGTCGCTCATGTACCGGGGGATTTTTGTCCGTCCATAATAACAGGTTAAGCTTTTTTGAACATTTGTTCTTATTCTTACAACAATTTTACAGGTTTATGGTACAAATGCCATCTTGGAACAGCCAATTCTCCTCATGCAATGCAGTTGCCCTTTTGTACACTATTGCCGTTTACATGTCCTATTTGTCCTTCTGCAAGTGAGCATTCGCTGTCTGTTCTTTGGCCTTTCGTGATAATTACTGCTTTATGAAGAACAATGAACGAAATAGAAATAATCCATTTCAGAACTTGTTTTTAGGAGACCTCTTAAAAGTATTCTCGATGGGATAAAAACAAATAAATTAAATTGACAGTGATGTTGGCTTGTAAACGTCAACGGGATAACTTCCGCCCTAGCTGATTCAAATTCGAATTCTCTTTATGACTCATGTTGTGAAGCAGTGGTATTCGTTTTGCAACAACGTTTCAGGTGTTTTTACCTGTAGAGCCAATGAGGGACAGTTGTGTGCTTTATTTAGACAGGAATGTTCTAGAACCCGATGCAGAGAACCATATTCTATACTGTTGTTGGGTATATAAGAAGAGCGAATTATTGCCTCTCATCTCACAATACAAGAAGACCAGAGATGTATAGGATGATTATTACATGGATAGCCTGTGTTTAGCCCTTCATTCCAAGTTGGATTTTTTTATTGCAAAAATAATTGTACTGTCTTATAGCGATTCATGGGTGTTGATTTGTAACGTTTTTAATACAATTGTTAATTACAACATATTTCTTTAATGTTTGTTGTTTTCACGCATAGGTCTCTTACGGACTGATTCGTGAATCAGCATGTACCACTCCATTATCTTGATAATATACATGTATGTTCTTCTAGAGAATAATGCCTTAGGATTTGAAAGATCCTAGAACCATGTATTATTATTCTTCTTCTTGTTTTTTTTGTAAAAAAGAAAAAGAAAAGAAAAGAACACGTTGTCTTTGTTTGTTCGATTGCTTGATGTCTACTGCCACACCATGTGACTGGGGTCCTTGACTAACCCAGCCTGGAAAAGAGTGAGTGAGTGAGTTTAGTTTTACGCCGCAATTGTGTTGTCTCAATTGGGCGTTGGTTGACGACTTATCATATGGTCGTGGTGGAGACATACTGAAGAAGAAGGCATACGGTTGCTGACCGGTAAATGTTTCAATTAAACATATTTTCCTGGGCCTCCTTTCACAAAGCACTAAGGTGATCGTAAGTCACTAATATAACCTTAGTGTAATGTTAAAGAATGGGAGTTATGGTTAAACTTTGTAACAGTTGCTTCGTGAAAGGAGGCCCTGATTACAAGAGTGTTCCAGTTAAATGAAGACAGCAATTCAAAGTGATGCTATTCGTAAATGTTCAGTTTGAAAACCGGAAGCGTGGGCCTGGTGCTGACAGATCTTGGATTGCCTTGCAATTATTGGGAATATGAAGAACACACCAACGGTTCCGGTCAGTTAACTAAGGGTAAGCGAGCGAGACGCTCAATCCTTGACCACTGGGCCCCCTAAATACAGTCAGTTTTCATCAGTTAGACCCCGTTTGGATGTAATCAGTCCAGCAACAGTGAGTGATTGAGTTTAGTTTTACGCCGCTTTTAGCAATATTCCAGCAAGATCACAGCAGGGGACACCAGATATGGGGTTCACACATTATACACATTTGGGGAATGGAACCCGGGTCGTCGGTGTGACGAGCGAATGTTCTAACCACTAGGTTACCCCATCGCCCCAATCCAGTAACCCCCGTGGAGGCATAGTTATGGTCTATCGATAATAGCTTTTGTATATTCGCCATTCACATTAGTTTATGCACAAAGTGAACGTTTTAGTCAACTCTGATCCTTCTAATAATTATGTTCATTAAATAAAATGTGTGAAATTATCGATTGCATAGGAAGACAGTTGTTGTATAAAATTGGTTTTAATACTATTTAAGGCAAAACAACTTAATCTAATATAAATATCACCACCGACAAGTCAAAGAACACATCAGCTTTGTGCAGTACAATTTGTAAACAAGTAATACAGATGGTATTTACAATGGAGGTCAAACACAACAGCTAAACTACAACACACAGACAAGTGATTTTCTTTGCAACTGATCACCTTTGGATGATTCCGGTATAAAATATATCAACAGGGCATCTGTACATATTATTTACAAATACAGACTCTAAATACAAAACAAGCTGGGATTATACTTATGATTAGTGACTTCAGAAGTCTAATATTTATTTTAGAGATTGAACAAAACCGTATATTCACATAGCAAATCCTTGGCTTCATGTAAATATCTTAAAGTGGTTTTCCGAGTATGTCATTGAGTGTTACATGACTACCTCAAACATTTCAACAGTTATCTATTAATGTGTCATAAATGCAGTATTTCGACACTTGGGTATTTCTGACGCTGAAAGAACCAGTTTAGTTACTAGTGGTTTGTGCATTTATGTGAAAGTTACCATGACAACACCTGCAGAGAGTAGAGATTTCAATAAACCATTGAAGTTGTGTACAACAAAACGTGTCAAGTTATCACAGTGTTACATAACAAAACAGTTAAGCATTGGAAGAATGAATAACATATGTACCATGATACAGATGGACTATACACACATGGAAATGTGGACAAGTAGTGCTGGAATGTGTGACTGAATAGCACTAATCTGAAGTCTCTAGTTCATGATAAAACATTATGTAAAGTGTCTGCCATTGAAAACCCATTAAAGTATGCCTCTCTTTTTCACCTTATCAAATAAAGAGTTTTTCGGAAATAGTGACTGCATCCAGTCTGTATTAATACCAGTTCTACCTAATACAGAGTCAAAATGCTCATGTAATTTAAATAAGTGTCACATGTCACATAGGTACATTTATGTTGTGACTGATGTCTTCCCATTTTTCTCTTGCGTTGACATTTGTGTTGTACCAAGTATTATCCGCCAGGGTTATCCTCATATTAAATGTCTCTTTGACGCAAACCTAGTATTGATAAGACACATAGAACATCATTATTATCCATTGTTCAGTGAAAAGGATCGTGCGAATTTAATAGCACTAAATTCGTCAGAAAATAGTTGCTGGAAGAATCATACACTGTCCATTCATCAAAGAACAGAGACTTCATGGGAATAGTTTGGCAGTTTGTGATATGTTCAGATTTCCGTTTGGTTACCCATCGGCGGACTCTCAAAGGTGATGAGCTGCCCAGCTGGTGCAAAGTGGTACTGAAACAGGAGAGTAAACGTCCTTCACACTGTGAAATAAATTCATTGCACACATGAAAATCGTTCAGGAAAAGACCGTGTACGAAGAAATAATTCAGGTCCTGATGTGTATAAAATTATTGTCCTTGTAGTTGTTTTAGGTACATTTTATGTTGAATTTTCATAGAACATTGCTGATTTTGGACTGAAATGTATCATCCAAGATATGAATAATTCATTAATTTTCTTTGACATGTGGCCACTTGCTATACTGCTATTGCTTCAGTTAATTAATGTTACTTGAAACTTTGCGTAGTATGGATAAATAATGTTTTATGAAGTAAATTTAATCAAGCTTAAAAGTATATGAGAGAGCAGATGAAATGTAGGTAAAGATGAGAAAAACATGCTTTGAACAAATAAATGCATTTATCAGCAAGAAACACTTTTAAAATAGTCATAAGAATATGATACGATATGAAATACAAGATGTAAACCCACAAAATAAAGGATTGAAATGATTTGTTTGATAGAAAGGAAATAACGAGCATCAAGTCAATAGATTTGCATGAATAAAGTTGACGGCGCTTCTTCTGAAAAGTTTAAATGTCATGATATTATTATTCTCTCTTATTGAAAGTATAGTTAGCAGTAATATTAATATCAGAGTTTATTTGCCGTCTGACTAATGCAAATCTGTTGACGTTGACGCACCTTCTGTTTGCCTTGTATCAAACAAGTCATTGTCGAAACAGTACCCCTCCGTTCTCCTGTTCAGGAGAAAATGCAGCGCCAGCATTAAAGGATTCAAAGTTTTCCCTTCTCACTGGGTTTTGGTTTGCATTTGTACGTGCTTGTGTTTTGGCATTTTCCTGAAAAAGATTCCATTGGCAAAAATAGGAACAGTGTGGTCATGATATATAAACAGGGTTTATGAGTGACTGACTGAGTGAGTGAGTAAAGTGTCACTCCTCCAATCGCAATATCAAACCAATTTAACGGCAGGGACAAAATATATAACATCAGTCTTATCCTGGGAAAAAATAGATCGGAAAATTATATGATTATATTAAAATCTGTGGACGGCACCAGATCTTAGAAACAAAGCTCCTCATGGTACACGTGTGGCGAATCGAAGCAGGACCCCCTGGCGCGAAGATTGAATGCTGTGACCCTTAGGCTAATCCAGCACCCAAAAGTTTATGGCTACAATGGATGAATCAGGGGTACATTTCCTGTGCAGGAAAACGTATTATGTCTTTATGTTGAAAGTCGCACTTTTCGCTAGTTGCTACTGTTCACGTGTAGGCTACAACATCGATTAAGCAGTAATTGATAGTGAAACACAAGCACGTAATGTTTCTAATTCATGTTTTTGTCTCTGGTGGTCATTTAATTTCTATTCGTCAATGCTCTCAATCGTACATATTACGAACGTATCATATCACAAGCTTGTAGAAATAATACTGGAAGATGTACCACATGAACATATGTGATCCTTCTCCACATTACAAAGATATTTTAAAACCCGGATCATAGCATATTCTTGACATAAATTGATGCCACATTTCTGTTAAATCATTTTGCAAAGAGTTTGATAAAATATTAAAATCAGACTAGAGTGTGTCGAGATGGTGTCATTTGCAAGGCGTGCACATATATTTAAATGTTCGTGGTGAAGAGAGTTTCAGATTCAGATTTAAAAGAATTACCTTGGCACGGTTTGCTTTTAATTTTTTCTGTGCTAAATATTCCAAAGATGATGTAATCATTGCCAGGACGAGTCCCCCGATGAGGATGTGGAAGATTCCAGATACATTGCTCAACGTTAGAGCGCTCTGGGTAGCGTCCTGAAAAGAAAGTATTTACGATCTGTACAACCTCAAAGCGTGACAGCTTTACACCTGCATACGTGGAAAAGCCTAAGAACCAATGACAACACTATGCTGGTGACAACCATGATTGTGCCGGAGGCACTTAAGTCATATTCGCGGATCCTGGCAAGACAAAGGGCGGCAACCCATGACTGAAAATTGCGGAGCCGGGAATAAATATGGCACAATACTCCCTTGCTAGCTTTATTGTCTTAAATCCATGGGTACACAGTGAACAAAGGCCTTCCAGTTAAGTCCAGTGATCTGTGACAGGTAATAATTAGGGAAGCACTTTTCTGACATGAGCGCAGGTCCCAAGCGATAATAAAAGTATAATTTAGAATTTCAGTGTATTTGGAAACAGCCACACAGAACTTTCATCTGAGAAAATCACATTGTCCCAGTTAAAATGTCTATGCTGTAAGCACCAGTTCAACCTTCGCTCCTTTTGTTCAGGTTTCATGATCTGTGATGGAATTCCTCGACCTTTCTGCCAACCCATTGCATGCAGCTCAGTTCTAATTGTCTCCTTACAGACAGCCATAGTTCCTCTATCAATCATATCCAGCCTTAAGTTTTCTAAACTCCTTCGTTTGTTTTTTAGAAACCAGAATACCAAGCCGCCTCCTGTCACCGACAGTCAATTTTCTGGGCCTACCTGCGCCTCCCTGGTGCTCAAAGCCATATCCATTTGCAATATATTTCAAACAGTGGACAAGGGGATGCCTGTTCTACTTGAAATCACTTTAGCTGATCTGAAATCCGTGTAATAATACTCTAAAATCAACTTCCTCTTCTCTCAATCATCCCTACTGAGGATCACTGAAAATGTCGTCTGCTAGCAAGAAAACAAAGGGGGGATAACTCCTCAAAAACTAATTAAAAAGGATTAACGGAGTTGTCTCTCTTGAATGAAACCAATCACTTGATAGCTGGTCGAGGTTGTTTATACTAGAAATCCAATTAAACATATACCTAAAATTCTCAATAATTTCTGGTCATACTATATGATAGCAACACTTATGACATTAATGTCAATAAAAGAAACAAAGTCAAATAAATATTCAAGAATAAACTGCAGTGCGTTTTATGAAGGTTCCAAATTCCTTGTTTTCATTTTTCATTTTTCATGTCTCCGAAATAGTTTAGCTAGCCATCGATACAAGCATAACTACTTATAGACGTATTATTGAGACGAAAGTTCACCAATATCAGTAGTGGCTTACAAGCATGTAAAATTATGCTTGCATTACACGTTTCAAATAAAATAGTAAATATTTTTCAGTAATGTGATGTTATTAAGATATTTACCTTTGATCCATCAACGTCTCCACATTTACCCTTGTCATACCACCACTTTTTTCTGAGTTTGTGGAGTTCTCCTATCTCTCGTAGCTCAAGCACAGCAATATTAATTTCATCTCTGCAACATGAACAATACGTAATATCATTCATCAACTATATTGTTCAATCAGAATAATCCCTGGCAGTTAGAGGTATAAATTAGAATAAATATAAACCAGTGTCACTGCTCATCCGAATAAATATACATGTATTTCACAGTTAAGGTTCATTCAGCATTATGACACACGTTATCTATATAGCAACAATATCGTTCATTCCGGGTAACTATATATCAGCAATATAGTTCATTCAGGAACACTACATATCAGCAACGGGGTTCATTCAAGAAAACTATATGTCAACAACGTGATTCATTGAGAAGAACTATTATATCAGCAACATGATTCATTGAGAAGAACTATATGTCAGCAACATGAATCATTGGAGTAACTATATATCAGCAATATGATTCACTCAGAGTTACTATATATCAGCAATGTGCATCATTCTGAATAACTATATATAAGCAACAAGATCCATTCAGAATATCTATATATCAGCAACATGATCCATTCAGAATAACTATATATCAGCAACATGATTCATTCAGAATATCTATATATCAGCAATATGATTCATTCAGAGTAACTATATATCAGCAATGTGCATCATTCCGAATAACTATATATCAGCAACATGATCCATTCAGAATAACTATATATCAGCAACATGATCCATTCAGAATATCTATATATCAGCAATATGATTCATTCAGAATATCTATATATCAGCAACATGATTCATTCAGAGTAACTATATATCAGCAATATAATTCATTCAGAGTAACTATATATCAGCAATGTGCATCATTCAGAGAAACTATATATCAGCAACATGATCCATTCAGAATAACTATATATCAGCAACATGATTCATTCAGAATATCTATATATCAGCAATATGATTCATTCAGAATAACTATATATCAACAACATGATTCATTCAGAATATCTATATATCAGCAACAAGATCCATTCGGAATAACTATATATCAGCAACATGATTCATTCAGAATATCTATATATCAGCAACAAGATCCATTCAGAATAACTATATATCAGCAATGTGCTTCACTATGAATAACTAAAAGACACAACTCTGGACAGGTCCTTTCACGATTGGGTCATACGTTTCCTCTGTGTAAAAGTTCCTCAGTGGCAAAATGACAAACTAACATAACATGTCCTAAATACAATAATCGGTAACTACTTCTGACTATTACGATTCGGACAAAGAAGAACCCTGTTCATACATTAAAAGCACAGAGCCTCATCAAAACATTTATTCCGCAAGAGGACCTCACCTTAAAGGATATCCTATGGGAGTTGCTATCCCGTAGCCTTTGTTGTCCAAGTTGACACCAACTTTCATCGTGTCACATGGTTCTTGCTGACTGTGGAAATCGTTCATCGAAGACTCCAACATAAACGCATACTTTCCTTTTGACTGCCTAACTTTCTCCACTCCAAGCTCGACGTCACTGAGCAGCACTTCGTTTTTATTAGTTTCCATTGTCTCATACATTTGCCTGAAAACCTGGACTTCTGAATCCTGCAACAACGTGGGACAAGAGTGAATCGTTAGGATTGATTGATTGATTCATTAAAGCGGCGGTCTGTAAATAATCGAGTCTGGACCAGATAATCCAGTGATCAACCGCATGAACACCGATCTACGCAATTGGCATACGATGATATGTGTCAACCAAGTCAGCGAGCCTTACCACCCGATCCCGATTGTCGCCTCATGCGACAAACTGAAGTCCAGTTCTAACCGGATCTTCACGGGTCAATCATAAGGAAGTATTTTATGGAAAATGACTGATTCATAAACGAGAATGGAAGCAACGGCTACTTCTGGGCATTGACACTTTTCCAAACATGTTCAAACTGGCATGAGGACAAGAATACCAATTACAAATAGCGTTTCATTAATGTAATAAATAATAGTTGTTCGTGCATTCTGTCACGGAAACGTACGGATGTATCCCATCTGGCATTACAGCACAGTAACACTACTTAATGTGGTTACGATGGCGACGTCAAAGTGTTGTGGGAATTTGAGGATAGTATTGAGTATTTGCCGTCGTCACCAAATAACATTATTCCATATTACTTATAATGTGTACCCCCAAAGCAATGCCATTAACCGTTAATTCGGACCTTGTGCAGTCCTCCCTATAAATCACTTTCCGCATTGTCGAATGGTCCTCCTTATACATATATATTGAGGTAATGGTGATTTCACCTCTTTATGATCTGTATTTTTTCATAACATATTCCAGATATATGACGGTGGTCTGATTGAAGGTGGTGATTGATACTTATCTGACAGCGGATGTTCTGGGTAAACAGGGACTTACAACAACACACGTTCTAACCCATTACTGAGTCCCGGGAACTTGTGGGAAACACTTTGAGCAAACTTTTCATCCTTACTGATCATGTTATTGTCAACGGTTTATGCCGACTATCGGAATCAAGTATCATAGCACAACAGGTCAGGATAGAGGATGTTAAAATCTACTTTTACATTTTACAAAGGTGGCTGGCCGTAAATCCCCAATCCCCGGATCCGACGATACATAAAGGCACAAGCATTGTAGCCGCCAAAACAGCGACACTTTGTCCCACCTTATTTTGATTATCTGAAAACCATTTTAGACAGGTTCGTAACGATGTTTCAGTAATTTGGAATTCAGTGTATCTAATGTAAAGACACAAACTATTAATACAAAATTCTAGGATTACTCAAAATGTTTTTACTGAAAAGACCATCCACGTTAGCCTTCAAAGCCTTCATGTTATTACTTTTCCAAACCAAAAGTATTCTTACCTTAAAGAACTCCCACGAGGTTCCTGTTTTTAACGTTCCATATTTGATCTCTTTCTGATTTACTAAATCATCTGCGGAATCAATAGGTGTTAACATCTTCTCAATAGTCAAGAAGGCTGCTAAATTGGCTGTGTAGGAAGATATTATGATAAGAGTGAAGAACCACCAGGCGCTGCCGATCACCCGTCCAGACAGAGACCTAGAATACATTGCATGGTTAGAGAAACAACAGCAGCCACTGACAAGAGTGATATAGGTGAAGGGCAGGCATCGCCATGCAGTTAGGGTGAAGCAAGTTATAAGGAAAATCTACAGTTCTATTAAGCAACCTGTCTTCATTAATTATCGTCTAAAGCATATTGAACAATACTCAAACCATCCGACTTCATGGTCAGCATCTTGACACAATGTATGGGATTCAAACCAAGTCAAGGTTACAGATGAACGCTTTGACGACAGGACCACCACACAATTCTCGCTGAGTTTTATGAATGTTTCATAAGCATTTTTTTGCTGTTAACGTCACTTTGGACAATATTCCAGCTGTGTATAATATCATACGCAACGATCCTCGCTGTTGCGCACGTTGATAAGCTATCAACCAAGCCTAACCACCCAATCGTCGGTTCGAACAAGCATAGGTTTGCTTGTGTGCAATTTAACCCGGAATTCCTATGGAAATATCTGTGTTGCATGCTCTATAAAAAATCAAGCATTTTCATAACATTAATGATTCGCGGGTAGCATGCATTGAACCGAATGGTGTAAAATGGTCTGAGGGATATTGAAAATAAAAAGAACGTAAGTTAAATGCGAATGACAACAGAATGGGACAGGTCATGCATCCAAGCACTGATATATCTCCAAGATTGATTCTTGGATGACTGTAATATATAAACTGGGCGGGAAGACCCAACATCAAGCGGCCTTAACATGATCGGGCACTTAATAGATACAGTTACAATAGTCAATGGTCGTTTTTCTTCGTTTCTGTTGGGATATATTTTTTCAGATGTTTATCAGAGTTGTTTTCAACCGCTCAGGGTCATCATATAAAAATGATTTTTAGATATATAACGTAGGATTTTAAAAATGGCGATATCGATCCATATATGATGTAGGCGAAAAAGACATGTGTGGGTGATGAATGCGGTGTGCATTGTAAAGCTTTTAATGATGTACATTTACCTGTTTGTGTGAGAATATCATGGTTTGGGGGACAGCTAGTGAGGAGATATGATGATCACATGACTTTTGATCAAGGTGACACCACGTAAGATATTTAAAAAACCCATTAAAGATAGGTTTCTTTTCGACAGTTATGTGAAGGACATTTCCAGAAGTGACAAAACATATTTCCGATAAGGTTCTCCATTCAGATTTGTACCATATGATATCATGTTTATTTAAGGTGAACGATTAGCTTGCCTTTGAAGGTTGTTTTTGGTAACGGGTGCCGCAGGTGGGGCAGGATACGCTGACCTTTGGTGAACACCAGGTATTTGGTGGCTGTTCATAACATATGCGCATGACATACTCATACAATTGACTGTATAAGTGTGTAAAACTAATAAGAACTAATATTTCACAAATGTCAGATTACTTATGGAAAACCAAGTATTCTATTTTCGTTCTTGTACTTCTGTACCATCTCGGTATTTATCCAGGATTCAGAAGAAAAATGACCATTTTCAACAATAAGCCCGGGGCCACCAACCTTGGAGATATATCAGACCCTTGCTGCATCAAAGCTCCCAGAGAGAACCACATTGTGTTGGAAATAGTGAAGGTATTGTTGGCTTCTTTCTTCCCATTGCCATCCACAGTCCATTCGAAAGGACTGAAGCGGCCAACGAAGAAGAGCACAAAGCTGACACTCAGGAACCCAACAGCTATGCACAGCCAGACATATCGGTCCAACGGTTCCATGAAGGAGAAAACGCCTGGTTTCACTTTATCGGGTTTCTTGATCATGATACTGATTCCTGTGTTCATGAAAGGCTTGGAGAAGTCCACTACCCTCTCCCGATCTTCAGTGATGGTCAGAGGTGCTACAGCAATCTGTCGTGTCTGTGGGTATATAAATGAACAATACGGGATTTTATTTAGTAAGAATTAAGTGACACCTCGTAAATACAAACTCCCTACACTTGATATATCATTTATCACTTGACTTTCATAATACTTTTGTTGTCAACTTGTTTGTTTTTTCTCATTTTAGTTTCTTGTGGGCAGGTTCTGGTGGGCAGGACGTGAAGTTAGGTCTGGTGTATATTATTCCACATCATATTTGATAATATGCTAGAATAATATAATGTGCTAAAATAATGCCCTTTCCCTACTAACACAATGCAAAATACACGTCTCTGTCGTATTAATAAAGATGATTTAATCTACAACTTGTTTGAACTGCATTGGTGAAACATTGTTGTATTACAAGACAGTGCCTCTCAAAGAAGACAGTGTTCCATTGAAAGAAACGTTGCATGAATCATGTTTGACCACAATACTTTGCCCATCTTCTAATCAAATAAATGTTTATTTTTCAAAGGTAGAGCACTTTCAACGAATCCTGATAATAAAGACAAACGTGACACTGTACGTTTTGTTGCAGTGAGTGAGTGAGGTTTAAGGTTGTTTCCATCAGTTAGTTTCTCCCGTACTGATATCACGGGTTTTGCATCAACCAAATGACATATATATGTATACTTCTAGATTTACACTCACTATTATTGTCAACAGTGGAAATATGAATCCATGAGGTGTGCTTGTTAGAACCAAAATAATATTCCCACATGACGTTAATTTCAACAGAGCAGGAAGCACGGTTGGCAGCGATGCCAAGCGAGCGGTAAGTTGCGGACTTCACCACTTCAGCTTGCGTGGAACCTATGATCGTCGATTTGAATCCAAGAATCCCAAAAGCGTTCAACTCTAATATAAAAGACTTCATGAAACCCAAATCACTCATGAATTAACTAACTGACACTTACACGATTGATAAGTTCTCCAACCATGCCTGACCACTGACCGGTGGTTTCATTCTTTCTGCCATAATCGTGGGCGATATTAATCGCAAAGTCAAAATTCGCTTGTTTGGCGACAAGGCGTATGAGGTCTATACAGAAGCCTTCCAGGCCATTACCGGAGACTTGAGGCTCACCGTTTGTAATTTTTTTCTTCATTACAAATGGCGATACCTGAAAGGAAATGAATTAATTATTGATGGCTTTGTTCTAGGACTGATTAGTAAGCTTCAGCGTTTTATTCGTTCTGCTAAGCCTGGGTGAGCATATAGAGGAACATCCGTGTCAGCATCGTTTCTAGCTATTGGAGTCAACTAAACAAACAGGTAGCAGACAGGAGTTTGGTCTTCCAAATCGTACTTCCATCTGAAGCGTGTGTGGTCTCTTATCTTCATAACAACTGTACTGTTATACAAAACCTGTTGCTGTAGCACTATATAGTCTTGGACCATCATACAATTAAGCATATTCACGTCACCTGGAGTTTACCAAAAAGGGAAGACAATTACGAATTACTTAAATACATAATATAAACGCCAGAAATGAACCAGTCTTGATTTCACTTGTCGTTAAATGCAATACAGCAGTGGCAATAATTATGAAATGATCATTGAAAATACGTGATGATATACGGTATTTTGCACTTTTGATGATGTAAGAATTGATCTGCAACAGCTCATGCTTACTGGAAAAGTCGACTAAAATGATCGGGTGGTCAGACTCGCAGTATATGTGGACACATGATATCGTATCCCAATTGCGTAGATCGATGGTCATGACGTTAATAGCTGGACTGTCTTGCCAAGACTGGATTGTTAACATAACACAAGACCTTCGGGGTACTTACAGTTTGTTAAAGCAATCATTGTTTCACTTTGCAGGAATTGTTTGTAGATATAACTGTGCATGATACATAACCTGTCTAGGGTTAACTGATTAATACTGGATTTTCTTTCTCTGTTTAAAAAATGCGATTATATTTGTGTGAGGATGCATTCTTCTTACCATGATCGTGGTAACTTGTTGAGTCCTGTTTTCAGCTGAATCATTCCTAGGTTGATATAGCGTCTCGTTCACTGCATACAGCTCTCTTCTGTTCCACGACTGTTTCTGTAAAACAAGCATCATGTGAGACTATAGGATAGGAGATGTGACACGCGTTGATTGAGAGGATCTTGTAATATACTCAAATGCAAGGTAAGCTGTGCTTGCGTTATTAATAACTGTATATCGATGTTTAGTGAGCGGGTGAAACGTCTGTAGTGTGTGGTACAAATCAGAAATCAGAGACACCCTTGGCAAGGGTAACGCGCTGTCGTTTTCGTTCAGTTGTGAGTAAACAAAGTCACACTAAAATGTTGTTTCCCTCTAAATGACATCTACAATGGAAATAAAGTAACACATCACAAGCTCCAGCTACGAAAGTAGTAGACATTGGACCATGCCACCTGGCCATGGGACAGACAAATCTGTGTTCGGACCCTCTACCATACGTATCTGCCATCGTAACGAGACGTAGCCTGCTGAGCGAACTGCGTCGGTACCAGTCGTGCCCCTCCACACGTTTTAAGAAGCATGTAACAGAATCATTTTGAGCCTCCTGTCTCTATCACTTCTGCATTAGACTGACATGCTGCATTACAACTGGAAGCCAAACTTTCATTCACGCTCAATGTATATCGACATGTAAATCAAATTTTTGTCATTATCAGCTATTAATCAGCTATTAATTTTCAGAAAATAATCGATGTATGCCTGTATTTGTTTTAATGCTGCATCATGACGTATATCTACCTGTGTAAAGTCCTTCTTGTGGGTTAGTTCATACACATCAATTTTAAAGTCGTTTCTCATTCCCGTTATATCGAATGCAACACCTCCTGTTAGTCCATTAAATGATGACTGCAAAATACAAAGAAGTGACTTTTAGAGTACATCCAAGACTGTTGTAGCTTATTGGCATATATGGAAACATATCATTAGTATTAAGGTAATAGATTCAGGAGATATCTGATATTCAGATCAAGGAGTAAATAGGCATATTAGATTCGTGCTATCTGGAGAACCTCTTACAGCCTCTGTCGTTCAATATCTTACTGGAAACACGTCACGTTGTTATTAGTTTTATATGCAAGGCCTAGTAACTTCTCATGTGACAGTCACTAGAGCATGACTTCCGATACCGCCAAATGTCACAATCTGACAATGGAGTTCTTGCTGACATTTATACCTGTTTTATCTTTTGAAGAACACGTGGTCCATTCTCCGACTTGGAATGGCCGGGTCTCCAACAATGCACGCTGTCCACATCACCCTGCTTGTTCCGGAGCGCACCGATTTGTAACGATTTGTGTACAGCTGCCACCGTGTCGAGAAGCAAGGCTGCCTCTGTCTGAATAAAAGAGCATATCGCACGTGTGGCTATCCCATTCTTTACCAGCATACACGCACGCACATACATACATACATACACATACATACATACATACATACATACATACATACATACATACATACATACATACATACATACATACATACATATATATATATGACCTCACAGCAGACAGGGTACATGTATGTATGCCTCAGAATGATATACTCAGTAACCATGTAAATATAGAGTAAATTGAAGGTTACAAAGTACTCGTCAGACATGCTTTATGCCGTTTGAGATATGAAGACTGAGAAATATGGTAATCTTTCGGCATAACTGTTAACAACTGAAATACCTCAGGTTAATTTCAGCTAGGCCAGTGTGTTAGAGGAAAGTGAATGAGGAGGACTAAGGTGTCATAATCGTATAAAGATGAACCTGGGAATGGAGACAATGTAACTCTGTGTCCACTGAACCTACCGATAAAGGGAAGAGGTCCGGATAGTACGATTTGTGCTGTTTCCACAACTGCTCAGCTTTTTTATACGCGTCACTTGTATCTTGTATGATTTTAAAGGCTGTTATGTTTACACCTCCGTATTTAAATACATCAAAGAATTTTTGATTATTCAGGTCATAGGCGGTCTGAAAAAAACAAAACAACAAGAATTAAGCAAAATACATTTATGTCAATATTTGTTCATTGTAACAACCTGACAGTAAAGGGTCATGAATATAGACTGGTTTCCACAAATCTCCTCAAAACTCCCAGGCTCAAACAAGAAATATTTGGCAAAACAATGTTAGTTGAAATACACAATGCCATTTTAGGAAGTGGTCAAATGTAACATATGCTATATTTGGGATTTACTGAGAAAGTGTAATCCCAAATATAACATATGTTATAAATGTTAGTTGAGTTTTTCGTAGAAAGTGTCAGTGATGATGCATGTGTATCACTGGGCACGTAGTTACCGCTACCAATTGCAATGTCCACAATAACCCCACTAAATGGGCGACACCTGGTAACAGTATTTGGCCCTGGAAGACGCTACAAATGGATAGTTTTACACATAAATTCATTTGCTTACGTGTTGATATTATGAGTCTTATCAATATTCCATGTAAATATCCATTGTAATAGTCACAGTTTGCAATGAAACTTCATTAATACGAAGCAGTCTTGATCTTCAAACATACGTATAAAATATCTTCAACAACTATTATCTGACCCGAGACTGAATATTGTTAATCCCACGAATTCACTGAAAATCATATAGTATCGGATAACAATCTTAACTATTACAAAATGACATATGCTATACTTATATATACTATTAGGTTGGTTTGTAAATTCTGTCTTACAGTAAATCTCAGAAATTTGACTAACTAATAATCAAGGTCTCGTGATGTCAAGACCATAGTTCGATGTCAGTTTTGTTCCAAGACGATGTCACTCACCAGACTGGCTAGGATATAGTGGTAGTTTTCTCTGTTCATTCCAACATCTATAATCTGGAACAGAAAATTCATTTACATATATTACAAGATAACAGTAGACGTTCGTTAAAAAGTATGGATTGGTTAGACACACAACTGAAATGTCAACAAGTAAAGTCGCTTGAACAGGACCATCAAAACCAAAGGCCACCTGCCCACTCTTACATTCACTCTCTTATGTAGCCACTTGTCAACCAAATCAACCATTCTTCTCACCATGTTACCCGCATCATCAACAACCACACAGCGGCACACACAACACCCACTCACACCACATCACAGCACCCACTCACACCACATCACAACACCAACTCACACCACATCACAACACCCACTCACACCACATCACAGCACCCACTCACACCACATCACAACATATATGTCCAGTTACACACACCATTTCACCCAACACCACAACACCGGCATCAAATGCCAATCACCAACATCATGTAATACCACCAATGGACATCCGTTATGACCGGGCACGGGGAAATAACATTTTTTTTAGTTCAGTTTTATAACAGCCATGTCAACATCTAGGTCTGTGGACCGTTGAAGTGTGGAAAATAGACCTGGGTAAGTATCTTCTCGTAGGCACTAGTCGACGATAGATCAAGGACGATTCTACGTAGCGAATCCTCCTCGTCTTTGTAGTCAAGGTGACGAAGCAGGTCGTACGAATTGTTCACATCCCGTATCCGGAATGCGTCTAACACCCGGGGAAACTTCCGTTCTTGGATGTGGTTATACAACTTCTGTAGACGCCATAAACCTAGAAAAATGACACATGATTTGCTGTTTTAAGTGCACAATAAATGATGTGATGACACACTGGTTCCGATGAACGACACATGGTGATCTTTACATTGACCCAGATGAACGATACGAGGTGAATTTCACACGGACCCAGGTAAACGATACATGGTGGATTATACACTGACCAGATGAACAATACGCATTGAAGTATACACTGGCTTAGATAAACAGCACGTGATAAAAGAATCACCTAGGGTGAATTACACACTGACCCGGATAAACCACACATCAAGAATTACACACTGACTCAGATGAACAATGCATTATGCATTACACACTGGTTTAGAGGAACGACACGTGGAGAAATTCTACATTGACCCAACATGAACGACACATGGTGGAATTCTACATTGACCCAACATGAACGACACATGGTGGTATTCTACATTGACCCAACATGAACGACACATGGTGGAATTGTACATTGACCCAACATGAACGACACATGGTGGAATTGTACATTGACCCAACATGAACGACACATGGTGGAATTCTACATTGACCCAACATGAACGACAGATGCACGCCACGTAGTGAATTTGCCTTAAAGAATGAAACAGATTGATGTTACACTGTAAGAGTGGAAAGTAACCGAGATGATGGTTTCATGACATGATTATTCATATGCAACATCACATAGTGAGTATTTTTCTCAAAAGAATGGATTTGTGATATAATAACGCTTATTATGAGAAATATCTATATATTATATTGCCTTTCATGACACATGTGAGTGGCAATGTTCCTTCTTTATGAATATACTTGTGATCTACATCCGTGAGGCGTACATATAATGTGTGTCGGTCTGTCGTGATTATACGCCACAGACCTGGAGGAATGGCACAAGGATCTAACAGACTTCGAGCTGTGATGAACAAAGAGATTGTAGACAGACATAGTGCTATGACGCACGAAGGGAATTTGGAATAGCCTAGAGGAATGACAAATGAAGCGAGTATACACATGACTTGTGCTTCACAATAATTTTACAATTTTCTTTCTAGTTTTCGTCAGCAATCTGTCTAACAAAAATAATTTTTATTTTGACTTATCACAGTCCCTTTTGTTAAATGGATCCTTAAAACAATGTTCCAACATACACATGTAATCATAATAAAATAATTATTCCTGAAATCATAATCCTTAACTTCAAAGAGGAAATGTTTTGCCAATACCGCCTTTGATTTGAGTCTGTATTTTAATCTTCATGACGTACGTGACCTATACGACTCCTGCAAGCTTGCTATGTGTCGACTCAAACTCGTCAATCACAGTAAAGAGTAAAACTTAAGAGGGCTCTTCGCTACATATCAAACAGAATGTGTAATCCTTGTCCTTGGGGTCAACGTAATTGAAATCTTCTTGACGCTTTAATCGGGCTAATTCTGACTGTTAATATTTGAAGGCATGTCTGGAGAGGTTCCTACAGATTCATACATGTTTACTCGTCTCTTGTGTCGTTACCTAGTGGTTCCAATTCTGACTAACGAAATTGATTGTGAAATCCTGATGGGAATCGTAAATAGAATTCTGTCAAGAAACGTTTGCTGAAAAGGCATATGTCGTTTTTTATCTGACTCGTGATCTATTCTTGTATTTTAGCTTGTGTATGTACGATGTGGAAAATTACCAAGAAATCTCGTGACTATTAAGTTAATATTGCCATTGTGATTGGTTTTTTGTGGACGATATGTGTCACCCGCTCTTGAAAAAAGAACAATGTAGAAGAATCGTGTTTGACTACGATTTCTTTTGGGATGTATATTATATTCAATTTCCAAAACATATTGTATTTCAGACTGCGAAAAATCATTATGACATTCAAATTGTTCACATTGTTCCTTTTAAGAGTGTATAATATCATTCGTTATTTACATGCTTTTCCATGTTGGCATCGTAAAGTATCACCGAGTAAATAGCAGTAAGTGTACGTCGGTGAAGTCAAGATTTTGTACCGATGAAATCCTTTATGACGCGACGTATATAATCGGTATAATCCTTTTAACAAAATACATATTGTTTTCATTCTTGCTGACAACGGTATCTGGGTCTCTACCTAAAGGTATTTTGCATTTATAGCTAATACATAAGAACAAACTTAAGGGTAGGTTCGGATAAAGAAAGCATTACAATAGGATCAAGAATTTATGTTCAAAGAGGCGTCCAACCAAACTTTTACAGCCTTACTTACCATCATCCGAGTCATACACATAATATATTTTCTGCCAGTAAAGAATGTCAATAACTTTGATCACTGCATCAATCAAAGGAGGTGCCATGGAAACTTCATAACCATAATAGTCATATGGCTCAGATCTCGTGGAGGTTGGGACGATGTAAGGCACTTTGAGGGCATGGCTGAATGACTGGATGGTGTTGAACGACTGTGCGTTGTTGGCACCAATAATCACTGCCACGCCTTTGTTCATCAGATTACACACTGAAACAATATACGTTGTTTTACACATCATCATTTATACAACATTGAATAAAATTCACACCTACAATGCTCCCAGAAAACATTTATTAATTTGGAAAAAAACATCATTATTGAAGGAGATATACATGTTCCATTTGACACCCGTACTGAGTCGATAATAGAAAGACGTTTTCAAATTAAAATTTTCTATCAAAGTAAAATCCTTTGATTATTAAAGATATCGTGTGTCCATTCTATTATGATGCATAGTTGTACTTGGACCCCAGACCGTGTTTCGTTACAGATGTCATAGAATCTGTCACTCCTATCTTAAACGTAACAATTTCGCTCTCTTGAGAGTGTTACTTTAGACTTGAGCTGCTGGACACAGGCTACGAAGAGCATGACAGCGCCTTATTAAATGATAAAGGTAGGTTTATGAATATCAAAAGAGAGGATAGAATATCTAGATGTTGTAATGATAATATTATAGAAGACGAATATCATTTTCTTCTAATATACCAAGCATATAATACTATACGTAAAAATATATTAAAGAACTCTGTTTTGTCCATCCATCAATGGATATAAATTTTCTTCTCTATTGAATTGTTCAAATGAATTTGTAATTCAAAATGTTACTGTTTTCATTTATCAAGCCATGTTGATAAGAAAATTGTATATATGAAATGTACTGTAGGACTGTGGCCTCCTCAGAAATACTGAAATAACGATTGAGTGATTGACAGCGCCTGGGTCTAGTTTAATATCGTAAAAAAGGAAAAGTTAATTATAGATAATGATTAAACAAATACTTTGACGACTAAAGCACACTATGAAATTGTAAGCTGTAGGAAATATTTAACATGTGGGGTAAGTTTGTCAAGGGTAAAATACAGACCACAGCACGACAAATTCGGTTAAAACTCATAGAGCTTTGCTTTCAAAATATACCACTACAACTGCATGACAGAATAATTATATTAACATTTGAAAATCTGGTCATCTCGAATTTTGTTATAGCAATATATTTTTCCTGAACACGAATTAAATTCAAGAATTGTTATTCTCTGGTGTTATTTTGTTATTTATATTTACAGCTCATTAATCGCTCTGTGGGCCTTACGTCAAACAGCGATTGTCGTGATTTGTTTTGCCTTATGTTTTTCTGATGTTATCACCACAAAGTGGTGCCCCCACAAAATGGTAAGCGTCCAAGACTTGCATGACTTCATGCTTCCCTCCTACATCAAGCGGAGAAGCTGGGGTATAACTAAAAACTGTTTCAACGTTGTGTTAAACTGACCTTACTTACTCGTACTCAGGTACAATGTGGGAGCCATAATAGAAGTCAAATACCGCTCAAAGTAGAGGTCAAACAAATACACTCAATCACTCACACGGTACAAAAAGGATAAGTATGCTTAACTATGTGCGGAATACCGAACAGATGGTAAAGGCGCTATTAATAACATGAAGTGAAATAATATATTTAATAAACAGCCATATACTCATCGCATGATCACTACGCCGCATAATATCTGGTCAACGGATCATGTACATTGTAACTGTATTTTATACTTTCTGGAGAATATATAATCAAAGTTGTGTTGTTTTGAATTCACTCCCTGTCGGGTACCGATATACTTACATGTTTCGCTCAACTTGTAGTTATCATCCATATCTGTCAGATTGTCATTCAATATAGGATGCCACCGATACGCGTTGCGATTTTTCATGCTCTGTTCATTTATCCGTGCCGTGGCGAAGTCGTAAGCTCGTTTCATGTCAGGCTCGTTGATGACTATTCCTACAAAGGAAATCAATAAAGATTCTCAGGTACATATAGGGTTTGAGAAATAATCGTAAACACACTCTTTTGTTTCTCCCTTTTGTGCATTACGATGAAGAAAATAATAGCAATGGCTAAATACCATCACTGATATAGGTACATAACAATGGTTTATATGATGCATAAACTCATGGTGATGATTCGTATCGGTCACATTATCACTTCAAATAGTATGCGAGTTCTCCTGGGCATCCCTGGTTGCGCGATGGGGAGAAGAATGGCAACGAATATCATGAGAAGCGAACGTAAAATCCTCATGAACGACTAACAAGACAAGCATTTGGTTGTGCGCCATACAGGAGAAGACGTTCACCTGGTGGTCAATGAAAACATCTTAAAAACATCAATTTACACCCTTTACGAAAGCATACATGAAGCGCAGTTTTATGTTTGTTTTTTTTCTCTTGGTTTGTGCCGCTCTCAACAATATTCCAAGAACATAACGACGAATGGCATGGCGATGTAACGTCACATTAAGGTACAATTTCGGTCTGAGCAAAGTGGAAAGTTTGGTGATTATATAGTACTTCCAGGAATATATACAGTAGGTAATGTGATATCTAAAATGTATTTGAAGGAAAACAGTCACTTTGAAACTACAACGTTACCAAATCTTGTGTGGCATCGAAAAATTGGCATTCTCATCGGGTAAATATGTTGTTGTTGTTGTTGTTGTTGTTTTTGTGAGATAGTGAATGGTATTTGCCGCCGTATCTGCAGCATCAGTGGAATCGAGTCCGACTTTCCGAGTACCGTTACCCTTAATCATCCTTCCGGGAAGATCTATAATAACTTCATATGTTTCCTTCATGTCAAAATGTACTTGAGAAGAAATGTGGTCAAAAGTATATCACACACTAGCCAAGTGCATGTGAGTGCGTGTTTAGCGTATGCAGTAACGTGAGTGCACATCTGTGTGTGTGTGTGTGTGTGTCTCTCTCTCTCTCTCTCTCTCTCTCTCTCTCTCTCTCTCTCTCTCTCTCTCTCTCTCTCTCTCTCTCTCTCTCTCTCTCTCTCTCTCTCTCTCTCTGTCTATGCGTGCTTGTACTCGTCCGTATTTATCTTCATAGAGCTAACCCACTCAGATACCATGTGTCAGTTTAACACCGTCACGACAGTTAGCCTCGTCCTTGTTTTATCTTCACGTGTCAGGAAGGTTACAAACAAGTACCGCCCTTGAACGTCTTTTGGCATCACGCTGCTACCACCGACCTATTACATTCCGTGTAGACACTTTATTTACTACACCACATCTCACAACAAAACTGAGGACATTCAACACATGCAATTGTTCTTACTTGACGTCTGCAGAACGAAATAAAACCTTTCACCTGCAAAGAAGGTGACAAATTATTCATTTAATTTGTTCCTATATGAGCTGACATTCTCCGGAAAACACTTTCATGTTCACACCTTTCGTTCATATTTCGATAAATATGCCTAGAGAATGTGCATTCTCTTCAAACAATGAAAATATTACCATGGTCGATTAGTTATATTGTCCATAATTGACAAAAGGCAAGATGTTCTAAAAGAAAATAATAAAAGTTCATCAAGTCAACTACAAAGCCGTAAATGTTTCTTCGCTTCTGTATGCCCATCTTCTATAATTCATACGTTTCGTTATATGGTGACTTAAGAGCTAGACAAGAATAAAGATATTGATCCGAGGCATTGACTGCTGCAGTCGAGATAGCGATAAAAAGCTGTAATATTTCTTCACATTCTTTGGGCAGACACCGGAATGAAATAAAATCCAAATTACCGGTATCATTCTTTGTGTGAGAGTGATTCTACGATCCTCCAGTCGTTATAAGGCAGGGCAATTTACAATTCACTGAACACTGAAATTAAATTCCGCGAAGTCCCGTTATCTTTGCCAAAGATTAACCCGAACTAAATTCCCTCGGCAAAGAATAATTAGTTTCTAGGCTCAGTTATCGCCTAGTCTCGCCTCTCAAGGGACTTATCGATTAGTTCCTCCATCATGATTTTGCATGATATATTGAGCTTGGTGAAGCCCGTTAAAGCGATTGTAGGAACCGAAAAGCTAGATTTATTTATAAAGTAAATATAAAGTGTGTTTATAAACGTGTAGGTGTAGACACGTAAAGTAGAATATAAACACGTTTTTAAGTCTCTGAATAAAGTATGACTCATATCGAACTGGCAAATTTCTAATCATGTCGAATTCTTTCACCTTTCTTTGTATTGGCCTCGAATGTTCTTTGTGTGTGTAATGCAACATGTGTACAGTGAATGCCTGTTTCAGGAACCAGTCTGCCGTGTGATATTAATTTCTGATTTGACATTTACTTCTAAATGCCATAGGAAGGTGTTGATCTGGTCATTTTGGACGTTACACATACAATTTGTCTGATGACAGCTGCAAGGGATTGGCAGGCATATAAACTGGCATCAGGAGATTGATTTTAAAATACCAGTTACCAAAACATCTTCAGGCCACAGTCTAACATCGCGGCTTTAGCTTGTGTCATTAGTGAAAGGTAGCATCAACTGCAGTGTTGGATGAACAAGGTTCTAGAATGTCTGATGTAAGACGAGACAAGTATCAACATCAATACAGGCACTATGTAATGGGTTCGCTCGACTGCATGTACTGTTATTCCATTCTAGGGCTGATGGAATGTTATCACGATTTTAGTGAGACTGAAGTACACACGGACAACGATCGAGAATGGTGTATGCTAGACGACATAATCGTTGCAAAAGATTGTCGAATATGCCGTGATTGTTTCATATTTATATATTTATATATTGTTGTATATTTACATACACTCCAATGTCCAGAACGATCGTCAAATACATAAGCTTCAAAACTCAAATACTTATTTGTACCAAGAAATCTTCAGACACTTATTCAATTAAAAATACCATCGAAAATAAATGGTTTCCTTGTTTTAACGTAATGAATGGATGAAGATTCAGTTAACGCCGCATCATGCATATGATTATCCAGGATAACCAATGCCCTTGTGAACCAGATGTAACCCATCACCTGTAAATATATACTTAATCCAGAAACAAAAGACTGGAAATGATATTGATTAGGTAGAGAAAAGGAAATGGGACAACCCCTTTGAAACTGAAAATCAATACAAATTCAACACCCTCTTTGCACAGCTTGACGGAGATGCAAACAAAGCAAGAAATCAAGTTAACTGCATCAATATATTCCTGCTAAAATCAAACACGCTGTGTGATAAAGTTATGCCAGAGGACTTAATTCCCAGGAAGCAAAGCTCTGATCATGACAAATGGACGACGAGCTTGAGTGCTGAGACCGGTCAGGGCCAGGATATGCAGATGATTCATGTTGCACGGTCCCAAAGCAGCTCTTGGCTTCAGACGAGGAACACATGGCTCCCACAAACATGTTATTAGTTTTCGGGACTTAGAAGTAATGCAAAGATGTATAATTGAGTTCTTATTAGTATTCCATTACACTGACATGTGGGTTTAGGGTTCCCAGGTTGACGCGATGGTGCCATAATGGTTTAGGTTCCTACATCATGGTGGAATGTTGACCTTGAATACTTTGTGTTTTGTTGGAGAGTGGTCCTGCTTTTTGCTTCATTTTCAGTACGATTTACCACACATGGCTAATCACAGGCCTCCAAATGCCCTTGCCAATCGGACCAGGCTTATTTAATTTGCAAATATATCATTTGAAAAATATGGGTCTTATTGCATTTCGCTGACTGACACCAAGATGCGCTTTTCCCAAACGTTCTGGGAAAAAAGATTTCTTCAAAGCAAAACTTGTCCTCATTCCAAAAAGATCTCAGCTGATTTTTCTAATTAAGTGTCGGGGAGACTTTCATAGCATTCCGACATCAAATTAAAATGCCAGTTGCACATCCAAGGACGACGTCGACGAAATGAATCTCGGATACGGAATAAAAATCTAATTATTTTCTACTAAAAGACCATAAAATTCCAAAGGTTCTATTCCACCCACTCTCCGAGCAAGCAGAACGTCTAGTGAAGGCAATAAACTCTCCGTGGTACTGAACAGCTCTCAACAGCCAAATCCCAGGGCACAAACCGCTACGGTAGCCAACAGTCTTCCCTCCTTTCATATTATCGATCTCCCAGGCTCTCATAATTGGTGTAAATAGTCAGATCAATACCTCCTATAGGTGATCATTACGACTTCTAAATCCCAACACAGGCACAGATACGAGATCGCCGGTAAGGAGATGTTAGCCATTGTTAAATACAAACATGCAAAATTTGACTGAGCGCTAACAAGCAGTGAGCCCTGGAGGGTCTGTCCTTGTGTGGCGGCGGTAATCCACTCGATATTCTTGACGGTAGTGAAGATGCGAGCTTGGGGTCAGTGTGTCTTTATATAACAAGAATGTCTTCACAGGGGGATAGTGGTTGATGTGGCACCCGCGCACAAGGGGAGACATCGGCGCACACATAATGGCGAAAATATCCAGCGAAAATACTGTTGAATTATTAGATTTCTTGATGGTCATGAATATAGAATAGTATTCCCATTTGAGGCGATCATTCCATAGAATGAAAGTCAGTTCCACAAGGCACTGTAATGGTTCTCCAAGTAAATCATAAAGCCATTACTGATTATTTTACTAACATATTATTTTATAATAAGGAGAAATGATACATAACCGCATATTTATTCCATCAATTTTCGAGCAGTATTATATTCTCATTATGCTGCCAATATTGTTAGTGATTTTGGTTTTTTATACGGTTTGGGTTAGTTGGGTTTTGTTGCTGTCTGTTCAGCAATTTTACACATTAGCTATTATCATCACTTTGTGCTTGATTAGGCAAATCTAGATCTAAATCTGTATTTGGCATTGTTGTAACAACACAAACGCTTTTGAATAGAGAAACAACAAGAACCAATCCAGAAGCTATATAATCTAATGTCGTCAAACAGGAATAATACCTCCAGCTGCACACATTTGTGATTCAGATTTCACAAACCTAAAAAAATACGTCACTTTTTAAATAATATGGATGCATACAGAACACGACACGTGCTTTGCTATTTTCTAAACATTCCACTTTATACATGAAGACAAGATCAGCTTATTATTCTTAAAATCTATATCTCTAGTGATTTCTTAGTAGTTTGTCCTTACATTACACATATGTTCATAAAGTTTGTTTGTTGGTTTGTTGTGTGTGTTTGGTTTGGTTTTGTTTGGTTTTATATAGGGGGGGGGGAATCATTTTATTGAATTAAAATATAAACAAGAAGAATATGGGAATCTGAGGTAATTAAAATACCGACATATTTAATATTCTTGTGCCTCATTGTTTTGTGTTTTTGTTTGGAAAGTTCGCACATATATCATAACAATGTATTTGCGTTACATATAATGTACATAATTCATAATATGTGTTTCTTAATTTATGACTTTCTTACATAAGCCCTATTTCATAGGCGATTTTGGCACTTATATATCATGCATCTAGAAAGGGTTGTTATTTCAGTAAAGCTTGACTATGTCGCTCTGACACTTACACTTACACATGCTAATATCTCATTGTGATCGTAAATGCAACTGGAAATGTAACTATCCACGTGCCGCTGACGTAAAATGACCAGATATAGTTTCTTTGTAGCAACGTTCATTCTAACTTGTTTTTGTGTATGTATTCTTGGACACGTAATCACACCCGAATAGAGAGAAAGATAGTTAACGTAGTGTTACGAAATTCCTTTGAAGTATGTATTCGCGTTCCGATAAGCGCACGTTCTCAAGTAAATATATTTACTAAACGAGCAGGTGCTTCAGTAAAGCGACTCTGGCGTCTTCAGTTTGATCTTTAATGTGATCCGCGGATTCACAGTCAGGGTCATACGTGATTGCAGAAAGTACAGCAATTTCGCAGTCAAATTAGATACAAATCCTACCAGATTGAAGAAGATTGAAGTGAACCCATTGGGCCATCCTAAGAAAAGGTTCAACATTTAATCTTCCAACTTCAAGAGCAGCTCTTTTTACATCAAAGTGAAGCAGGTCTTTGAATTGTTTTTCACAAGTTTGATTCTACACTGTAGATTACAAGTCTGATGTAACATTGGAAGCAGTTTGTGTCGTTTTAAATGGAAGCAAATGAACATGGGCACTGATGTTTTGAAATTGCTTCCTGTTTTTATGCTAATATTTTGATACATTGATTTAAGTTTCACTGCATTTTCATTCCCATTTTCGGGGGCTTATCTGTTGTAGACAGGTTGTGAACCGTCCACAACTTGAACACAAAACTAATCATATTTGCATACGTGGACACTGACGAAGTGAATTCAAAGAAGAATGAAAAGGGATGCTAAGAAGTATTTAAACCACGGAGAACTTGCATAAAGGAAAAGCTACTGGCATATTTCTGTGCATCGTAAAGATGGTTGTTGATGTCATTTTGCGAACGCTTCACTACGCTTTGCAACATGAACGTATTTTATCAGTTTCTGTAAAGCTGTTGCAGGCATTTTCTAATGTGTCCTTGCTGTACTTGATCTGAATACCACGTTTAGTTGTGTACACAAATGCCTGTGCAATCCCCGCAGCTATTGTCACAGAGATTTGACCAGATTGACCGAAACTACTAAGCTTATCAAAATCTCAGTCCTCGCCCAATTCATGTACATTTGATTGTTAAATTTAATCTATTACAATGAATTATTGTGTCTTCTTAGAGCAATGCGTGGTCGTGAGTACTCGCTGACACCACACTGCCATAGACATCTACTCCTTTATTGTCAGTATACCTCGATTCCTTCGAAAACCTAGCACTTCAAGGTCTGACTGCTTTGTACATGGACAGAGCTTCATTCAATATTCGCCGTATCCTTATTTTAAAACGTTATGTTGATACATTATAATGAAAACTTCGCTTAGCATTCGCAGCTGAAGATCTGATTGAAACTGCGTTTCAGAGAGCACAGCACAACCTTTTCAAAATGTAAAAATGCATTCAGCTAAGATGATGAAACATTAGGAATGTGATACCCTCTTCATACCAACAAAATGACAGTAAACAAGCTTCACTATTTCAGTGTGACAGCCCTGTCTTAAACCAAACAAACATGAGAAAGGTCGGAGGTCGGAGGTTGTAATCAGTGTTAGGTTTTGTTGAGTTTTTCTTCTTGCTAACGTATGGTTACGGATTTCAAATTTCCAAAGTCGATAGAAAAAAGTCAATTATAATTTTCAAAACTAATTTGACGAAGAGACGAATATGACAAGAAGTCTGATATAAATGAAGTTCGTTCTAACGATACGGTGTTAGGAAATATAATCTGTACATTACAAAAAGTGAAAAAAGAGCAAACAAACTGCTTGGGCAAAATGCTGATTATTGCTTAAGGGCGAACATGCGACCAGGTGTAACTATAACGAGAAATAGCCCGCGACAACACTAGATTAGCATGTTCTGTTTCTCTTCAACAGCATAGCACACAACTGAAGGTGATGTGTTCTATGACATATGTGAAAAGTATATTACGACATATTTTGTTCAAAATACATAACATGCTTTCGTTCTGACACATTGTGTGTTCTGGAAAAATGGAGCTTATCATGGCCGAGGGTTCATTAACCAAATAACATCATAGTCAAGAAAAGAGAAGACAGCAGTTGTTTGCCAACTCGATGAATGCATGCTGGCATGTTTAGTAGCCCCTCTTTTATTTAATAACACACATACACTTGCAAATACAGGTACACATATACATAATGACCATGGTCATATGTCATGGACCAGATAATTCAAAGTGCAAAACACAGTTCAACAACGTATTAAAGGAGACAACGTATGTCTCCAAAATATAATATATTATAGTGTATCATGTCACGCTTTGTGTCCTGTGATCATTATATGGTATTAACAACAACAAAGAAAACTCCAAATTGTACATTTGTTAATTACCCTCTGAAAACATTTTGAAGGCTGTGAAATTTGTGCTCCAATTCAGCAACAAGGATGCCTTTAATATACATGCAACATACGTTTAATATACATTTCAGTGCATTTATTGTGAAACGACTGCAGGAAGCGGGCACAAGTAATAGCTGTTATCTGTGTAAAATCAATAATCTGTTAAGCGTTTGATATCATCAGAAGTCATGAAGTCATACTGGAGTTGTCTCCCTTCTTCCATTAAATGTTTTGACTTCAACATAAACACTATTTAAATATAATCTTGTGGAATATTATGGCCTTCGTCAAATACAAAATAAACAAGCCGGTGTATCGGGGTATCATATATTATAGTATGTTCAAAGGTAGGTTATCCATTTGATAAACATAAGCATTTGTAATAGATCATTATCAACCTACATGTGTTTCTGCGTATGTTAATAATATGACATATTTCTTTTTGATGCATATTATGCAAAATGTAACAAGTGAAACGCCATAGTTTGGAAGAGGCCATATGGGGACCATTACAAATAGTTTGTAGTGACAGGGAAACATTAACCTTATGTGTCCCCACCAATACATAGATAAATATGATACCAATATTTAAGCGTTATGATGTACACATATTGTCCCTGCGTTTCAACGGACGGACAAGTGCCTTTGCCCTGGCGAAGTGAAAGAGAAGCTCCTTCACAATCATGCAAAGAACGAGTTGAAAACACAACATTTAAAACTAAACAAAGCGACATAAAGGACAGCAGTAATTGGAAACTGCAGTATTAATTCTATTACCACATTAAACGATTACTAGGATTTACACAAATATGGAGACAAACTTTTAATGATGCTATTAAATAACAATTTCCCAATCGGAGAATTGAGCCATCATTAAATTAGATCCAAGAAAACACATGAATTAGATTTCTTATTGACTCACCCACAGGCAGCTGATATCTCGCCCCAACTCCCGCAAGAAAAATCCACAGAATTGAAAATGAAAACATTTTGTCAAAGTCTGAACTGGAGGCCTATGAAGCGCTGCCAATATGGCGGCGTAGCCAACAGTGAGACGAGAAGAGAGTTTGCGAGAGTCTATCGGTATGCTCTGATCAAATCCTCGGGATTTCAAGGCTTTAGATGGCGCGATCACCCAAGCACCTTCGATGCTGTCATCTTTCTTTGTTTTTGGCCGTCCATGGGCCGGAGAAGGACGCGACTTTATTCAGAATCCAACTTTTGAAGAGACATTTTGCCTCAGCATAAGCACAAAGGCTTTTCAGATACAGACCTAGCCATCAGTTGGCAAATTATCCGCGGAGAGTATGCGATGCACAAATAATCAATTTAGTCCAAGAGTGCTCCATCCAGCCACCAACATTCTCCATTATGGCAAAGAGGAACGCATGACACGTTGGAAAGCAAATTGGATCTCCCTCGTCAGTCTCCCAGGCCTGACTACCGTACGAACCGTTAACTGTAAAATATTAATGTCGTTTTTAGACAGTTCTTGTGATCGGAGTACGCGAGGTGTGGAAATGATGAAATGGAAACCATGGATTCCTGACTCAAATGCCATAAAGTTCTGCCTGTTTGACAACTTTCTTTTCTCTAAGGCATTCATACCCTGTGTAGCGTAAAAACGAAACATTTGGCAGGTTGAGTGACGACAAACGTTTTCTGAAACGCAATTGTCATTCGGGAATGGCTTGGACAAACAACTTACCATCATTAAAATCCCTAACAGCTCTCTCGGGTTCTTGTCGGTTCGTTCTTCCTCATTTGCGTACGATAATAAAGTGTTCGTTGGTTACAAAATAGCATAATACATGTAGCTTGTAAATGAATACGGCAAGGACTTCAAAACTACATTAGGCCCTGGTATTTGCATTGAATTGCTTTCTACTACAGGGACAATCATGTCGCAGTGTGTACGTTCCTCTCTGTAGTAGAACTTCCACAAAATATATTAAATATTATATCCTGATTTTAAAACTTTGCGCCTATGTTTCCTAAATGACTTGTTTTGGGCGTACTGATAATAGTTCATAAATACAAATGTAAGTTTGTAAATATGTACATAAGGTGTCTCAACATGGCATTGAATCTATTCAGTGAATAGAAGTAAATGTATTGATGTTTTCATGCTTTGAAATGTATTTTCAAATTGGTACTTAAAATTCATTGTATACACACTTTATCAACCATACGATAACGAACTTCGTTATTTAGCTTTGATTGAAAGCTGCGCCAAGAACACTACTCCAGTTATACAATGGTGTCTCTGGATGATGCGTGTGTGGAAGTTGGAGGTGATGCTGATCTAATTTGTTTCCAGATGAACTCTTTCATCAACAGATGCAGTAATAGCGATGGTTCACCAAACAGCCCGTATTTTTTATGATCCTCAGAGACGTATTTCAATCAAATGAAGACTATTAACACGGCCATGTGTTGTTAAATATGTTCTGTAAATACGTTTTGGCTCTACGTTCATTAAGTAGGCAGAAGCTAGTGTAAAGCTCAAATATGATAATGATGTTAATAATTGTAGTCACTTTGATGAAACCCAGGAAGACTGGCATCCTGCTGACAAGTCATGACGCATACCAATATCGAATTTGGTATCGAACCCACGATCGTGTTATGGTGACAACGGAATTCAACTGACATCTCAAAATATCATTTAATACAACGACTGGACACCAGTTGCTTCTGCTGTGTCAGAGAACAGGAGTGTATACCGTCACGTGACATTAATCCTGAATATATACAGTATATAAACCGTGCCATCAATCACTGTCTATATTGAAGGGTTGCGTCTGCTTCTTAGCCGGGCAGTACCATCCTGGCGAGCATGTGCAATATGTTCGCGAAAAACCCATTGGCAACAACTGTAATTACAATATTCGTGAGAAGTTGCATGATGCCGTCTACCATCACGGACTGTCAGTAGTGACGCTTTGGCGCTGCGCGTTAGCCATCAAGCATTACCCAGTCCATGAGTAATTGCAACAACATCGACAATGTGCACTGGCAACATAAGAAGATGGAATGCATTCGCCGGCAGGCCTACACAGCATTGGAATTGAGTTACATGTTGTTTACCACGAAGCTGAAACCTGACACATGCTGGCGAGTAGGTCCAACATGCTGACATCATGGATGCAGGTGTTTTCAACGCACTGTCAATATTTGGTGGTAGATGCAATCACGTTTGACACCGGGTTTCTCCAGGGTTTTTTCATCTTTGTTTACATCGAGAGAATTGGTACACCATGTTTAGCATCGTGCATTACCATTACCGGAGGACAGATGTATTATTGTTTCAGGCACTTACAGTACTGGTTGGCAGATGCACTATGTTTCCTATTAGTACTGGATGGAAGATGCACTATGTTTCCTATTAGTACTGGATGGAAGATGCACTGTGTTTCATATTAGTGCTGGATAGAAGATGCACTGTGTTTCATATTAGTACTTTTATGGAAGATGCACTATATTTCTTTTAGTACTGCATGGCAGTTGCACTATGTTTCCTATTAGTACTGGATGGAAGATGCACTATATTTCTTTTAGTACTGCATGGCAGATGCACTATATTTCTTTTAGTACTGCATGGCAGATGTACCATGTTTCCTTTTAGAGATTGATGACGGATGTACTATGCTTCCTATGATGCAGTATTAGTACTGGATGGCATATGCGCTAGCTTTCATATTAGTATTAGATGACAGATGCACTATCTTTCCCATTAGTACTTTATGGCAGATGCACTATATTTCTTTTAGTACTGCATGGCAAATGAACTATGTTTCCTGTTAGAGATTGATGGCAGATGCAACATGTTTTCTATGACGCACCATTAGTATTGGATGTCAGATGCATTGCGTTTCCTTGTAGTGCTGGATGATAGGCGTATTGTTTCCCATTCGTACTCGATAACAGATGCGTTATGTTTCATCGCAGCACTGAATGACAGATGCATTGTGTTTCCTATTAGTATTGAATTGGGGATGGATCACGTTTCTTAGAAGTACCTTTGGCAGATGCACTATGTTTACTTTTGGTGATGGATGACAGACGCATTGTTTCCTATCAGTACTGCATGGTAGATGCACTCTGTTTCCTGTTGGTGATGGGTGGCAGATGCATTGTTTCCTATCAGTACTGCATGGTAGATGTACTATGTTTCCTGTTGGTGATGGGTGGCAGATGCACGATGTTTCCTATCAGTACTGCATGGTAGATGTACTATGTTTCCTGTTGGTGATGGGTGGCAGATGCATTGTTTCCTATCAGTACTGCATGGTAGATGTACTATGTTTCCTGTTGGTGATGGGTGGCAGATGCACGATGTTTCCTGTTAGTGCCAGGTGATATAAGCATAACGTTTCCTAATAGTACTGAATGGCAGATGCATTATATTTCCCATCACGCACCATTAGGCCTTGAAAGAGGATAAGTAACGATTGACATCTTTCTCGCCAAGAACCATTACTTCTGGCGAGAGAACAGATGACTCATGCTCGAGATTATGTGACGTCGTGTTTGCAAAACATCTTACGTTCACAAGAAGTACATATGCTAATGAATATTGCACGTTGTTTATCTCTGTTCTATGTGTTTGGTTTTATAACAGCTTACGTATAAAATGCAGAGAATCTCATTATGTTACTTTTATAAATCAATTTCTGCCTATCCAGATATAGGCATACCAGTGAAGACCTAATTTTGGGGTACATGAAAATTATGTTGCTCAGCTTGTAGCTACATTTGTTACATTTCACGCCAAATTTAGTTTTAATTGCGGACAAAGATGCAAGCGTTAATATTGCTTATAATTGCTCGAGGGATACATCAGCTGCTTCACTGCAGGGACAAAGGATTATTTGTGTTTCACTTTCACCATAGCTTGTTATCGTGCGAAATAAATAATCCCCATTTATATTTGCAGTGATAAAATGTGGTTCACATTTAATCGTAGTGATTTCAGTTGTGCTTGGTGCAGGACATGTGTCCCTAACCGATATTTCCGAAGGTCGTATGTTTTTTTAAACCAGACCAATCCTTCTTCCTTTTCGCAACCGTAATGCACCGACGTCTAAATTGCTACGATTCCATTGCTTCTGTGTATGTGAAATCGATGTCCTGAAAATGAGTCTCATGAAGATACATTTCTTCTTCCAACCATTCCCAGGGTATACCTGTAACGAACATTGTAGCAAAACGCTTTTCGTCATTCCTTAGAGGAAATTTACTGCCCATGCAAATTGCAAATGAACACGCCCGTTTACCAAGTGCCAAGCATTTTCCAGTAATCAGATTGGAGTACACAGAAGCGTGATAATGAAAATGTCCTGCATGTGGCAGGGTCGACCAAGTGTGCAGCCGCTGGTGACAAAAGCTGATTGCTGTCGCCACAAATGGTAAGAAAATTGAAAAGAAATTGCTCTTTGGGTATTCTATCTGGTCCCTCTGTCATGTCGACGGAACTGGTGTACATACAGAGGAGACAAAGAAAGGAACAAAACAAATCCAATGGAACGATTATACAAGACCATATTCTTACTAATTACAATTACATTGATATTACTTCATAATTCAGCCATATATTGAGAAAATTATTTTCAATCTTATTTTGTATGCAGCATTCTCCGTTTATTAGCGTGAGATATGATTACACCTACTGCGTTGACATTTCCAATCAACCTCAAGATATTGCCAGTCATATAAAGAAATGGCATCATGACAACGCAGATTTCAGGGAGTCTTGTGCTGGAGCCTCTGCCTTCCAACAGCGGTGTGCAATTATTTCGCTTCAGATTTTGCAATAGTCTGTACTTACGTTACACGGTCTCGTCTATATCCCTATTACGAAGTGACAGTTTTTTCTTTACACTTGACAGGTAGTGGGAGCCAATCAATATACGTAACCTGAAGCTGCTTTCTCTGTGGAAGTCAGTTAATTTGCTATAACCAAGTAACACATCCATTATGTTCATTTTTTCTCTAGCAATTGCCAGGAACGCATGCAAGGTGTAATCATAAGGCTGTACTCTTGGCTTTCTTCTAAAGTCAGGGGATACATATCTGATTGAAACATGAGCGAGTGTACAAATAAGAGTTTTGATATGTAACATATGTTGTTTGTACCACGACAGAGTAAATATACTAATGGTGTGACAATAACGATCTAAATATATTGATGCTATTCATTTTGGGTTGTTATTTTTGTTGGTTCTTGTCAACGAGTATGGTTGAAACTGCTTTGTCACTACAAAATAATAGGAGCGTTGTTCTGCCATTGTCTTCATGCACGTTTCATTATGTAACTTCACCCTTTTACTTTTTAAGTATATATTGTTTTAAGAATTCCATCCATGATCAGGTCAGTACTGTCAATGCTAATGACATTTCTGTGTTCTCAGCTATGCAAAGCTGGTGAACATGCAACCGTCAATGGATGCATGAGAGGCCATACTCACTGACGACGTACGATGGTACACAAATCTAATCTGCTACACATTTGTATGTATGTAACATTGTAACCTTTGGAATACGCTTTGTTGTTTGCAGATTTCCCGGCATATAAACACAATGTTACCATATGCAGTTGTTGG